TATTGGTTTTCTTGGGTATATATGAATTCTCTTACTGGACTCTATCAGTTTTTGGATTATCTCGTTGGGTTATCGTTTTATTTGGCTCATCATAATCTCTGGGGTCTCATTTTATAATCATCACCTTATTTGGATTCTTCTTGGATTATCTACTTGATGAGATTATTTATGAGGAATATTTTGGATGAGATTGCTTATAACGGCTTTATCTTCTTGGTGTTTGATATTTGATTCTGATCAATATGATGCAAGATTATTGGATATTATACATGGGTGTACACTAGCAAGTAAATATGAGGGCTGATACTGGCACTACTACCAATGAAACTGATGATACTGACGACGACTCTGTTTCGGGCACCCCGTCTGCACGGTAAATCTAATCCACTATTATGATGTTCACCTTCCTTTGTCATTTATTTGGCAAAAAGGGAGAGTTTTTAGAGTAAGGGGGAGTATTTTTGGATACTTTTGGATCTTTTGAAAGTGTTGGATTATTATGGAAGTAATAGGACTATGATGGAATATTTGGCAGTGGTTAATCTTTTTGAAAGTTTTTACTTTTGGATCTTTTGGAAGTGTTGGATTATTATGGAAGTAATAGGACTATGATGGAATATTTGGCAGTGGTTAATCTTTTTGGAAGTTTTTATGTTATTCATTATGGAAATAATAGGACTATATTTGTTAGGGAGAGTAGTAGTTTTGTTTGGTGCACCTAACAAGTTGAATGGATGTTTCGGTTTATGTTACTCACATGAACAAGTTGATTTATGATGTGGTATGCTATGAATTCAATTCTACTGCGTGTGATCCAAGGCTTGAAGAATTCTAATCAGGTACTTTATTCACAAATGGTCCAAAAAGAACTTAAGTTGTTATATTTTGGTTTTATACCCTATACTTAGGGCTATAAATAAAATTAAATTGATTCTTGCCCAAAGTATTTGATACTCAAGTTTTCCCAAATAAAATGTCAAAGGGGGAGATTGTAAGTGTAAAATAATTTACACAATTTTGGCTATTTTATTTTAGCTGTAGCCGCATTAGTTTTAATTAAAATATTGTTGTTAGAGTTATTTCATTTTTGGACCATGTGATTACAAAATAAGTGGATGGTATGCCTTGGTGAATAAAGACAACGGATGAAGCTTTCAAAGAAATAGAAATGTGGATGTGGCTTATTCGAACAATGAGAAGCAATAAAAAGGGCTACATTTATGGATCACAAAGGGAGCTCATGATGTGCTATAAAAAGGTGTTGTTCGAAAGAAGACATTGCCAACTTTGAGATTATAATTTACGAGAGTTATTCTGATTTACAAAGCTATTCATTTTAATGTGGTTTATTATTTAATTCTTAAGAATATTTAATCTGTACTACATGATCAGTACGTGGTACTGCTGAAGTATCTTGTGAAGATTGTTCGGGTATTCGTGTGTCAGTCCTGGATAGGTGTTAGAAAGAGTGGTAGTGGTAAAGGCTAGAGGCCATCTTCATTTACCTCTTGTAATACTCCTTTTGGTGAACATCTATAGTGGATTGGGCAGACGTGGGTTGCCCCGCAGACATAGGGGAAGGAGCTCCGAACTGCATAACAATTTCTTTGTGTTTTTAATTTACTTTATGCTTTCTGCAGTTATTATTTACACTTGCTTAAACAAGTCTAATTAATTAACGAAACTGGTGCATAATTTAATTAACGAGTAAAAACACATTGCTTTTATTTTTCAAGTATCACGGTGCAATTTCATTAACGAAAGAATTCTACTTAACTTCAACAACGTTTGTATTGTTTCGGGGAGATGAGAGTGAGGATCACATGTATAGGCTAGGAAACTCGTTGGAACATTTGCTACCAAAATAGTTTGTAAGTTGTAACTGTATGTCCAAAAATGTACGTAACAGCAATTATCCCAAAGCTACACACTCAAGAGGTTTTGTCGGACCAGAAAAAATAATTTTTAAAACAAGGATTTCAATTGTGAATCCTAGGGCCCTAGGCAGCCCCACTTCAATTATTCAAATTTAAAGATGCATTAAATACATTTTAAAGCACTAGCTAGAGTATTCAACTATTCATGAATCAATTATTGACATGAACCAAATTATTATTATTATTATTATTATTATTATTATTATTATTATTATTATTATGGTACCAATGTCTTAATCTTTCTTTGTAACTTAATTGCATGCAATGATGAATACTAGCATAGGCCATCTTGATAATTTAACAAAGTACATAGATTATGCAATACATTCTTGAAGGATGGGAAGACTAGCTTTGTAACGATGAATAGAGTCGATAGTATTGAAAAAAAAAAAAAAAAACAACGTAACCGATAATATTTATATTTGTTTTATTTACAACCTATTTTTACGCTTACACTTGAGTATTTGATTTGTTTGGACTCGTACTTATACTTAACCAAACAAAATGTGTAATTTATTTTAAGTTTGTATATATTCAATTATCAAAAACATCAAATTTCTAATTTAGGAATAAGGGTCAAATAGTGCATCGAATTACACACCAAAATGCAATTAGGTCATTGAATTAAAAAAATATGCAATTAGATCCTTAAACTAACCAATTTCATGTAATTAGTCAAATTTACAAGTTTTTCAGGTTTCTAACGGATCACTCCAAATTTAAAATATTTTTAAAAAAAATTATTTAAAATTAAAAAAAAAAATGTCGCCACGGGAGACGAAGAAACTCTCCGTCTACAGCCAGAGACGAAAAATGTAAGGTTTCTTTGTCTCCGGCCATGGAGACGAATCCATGGCCGGAGACGAAGAAACTTCTTCGTCTTGGGCAGAGACCTTTTTTTTTTTTTTTTTAATAATTAGTTTAAATAATTATTTAAAAAAAAAAATTAAATTTGAGGAGACCTGTTAGAAACATGAAAAACTTGTAAATTAGACTAATTGTATGAAATTGGTTAGTTTAGGGACTAAATTACATGTTTTTTGAATTCAATAGCCTAATTACAATTTGATGTGTAGTTCAATGGTCTATTTTACCATTATTTCTCTAATTTATTTATAATTTAAAATAAATTATAAATTATAAATTCTAAAATAATATAACTAACACCACCGACTAGAGTCAAAATATGAAGATTAAACACCCGGCCTCCAGATGCATTTTTTTTTTTTTTTGAGATTTAATTACCTCTCCTATATGGGCTATTAAAATTTAAGCAGGTATAAAATTTAATTGATCGATGTATACTTTCAGATAGTAAGTACAAATTTGTTCAGATAGTAAGTACAAATTTGCGTTGGCATAATAAGCAAATTGTACCATGGATTCGGGTCTATCTTGCATTGTAGACCATGACCAAAATAATCCTCAGATTATGTACTTTGTAATTGACATATTTTAATTTGAATCTATATTAACAATTTATGTGTTTGAAAATAAATTGAAGGCACATAACATATTAACTACAAACACATAAAATAATAACTATAGACACAAATCATTAACTGTATGTCAATTTATTTTCAGACACATATAATTTTTGGATCAAAATTTAAAATACACGATGAACCTTGGTCCATGGCATAAAAATTGCCAAAAATAAGGATATTATTACAATTTAAAGATGTAGATGAAGGCATTTTAATTTATTATATTGATACATTATCGAACCTATTGTCTTCTCTGTTTGAGAAAGACGGCGACAATACAATTTTATGTTGTACGTACGTGAAGGACAATGACAGTCGATAAGCGTTCGGAGTTTGGCGTAGTTGGTTCATCGTCTGACTTAAATGTTATAATTGAAGGTGATAGTATGAGGATTTAAATCTCACTAGAAATATGTATGAGAAAAAGACCCAAAGATGATGGAAGGCAACTCACGATTTACTTCTACAGTAGCTTTAGATGTGAAGTCCTATGGGCTTAGGATTAGTCCGATGAAGCTGGGGTCACCTATGTTTAAAAAAATAAAATATCGAAGCTAAGGAAAAATATGGTACACCGATCCGATCAGGATCATTATTGTGTGGGCCATATTATCAAATAATGTACATTTTGTATACAAATAATGTGTTTTTAGTATATTAAAATGTACATTGTATTCAGAGAAAATACATTATTATTTGAGTACTAAAAATATATTATTTTGCATTCAAATATATATATATATATATATATATATATATATATATATATATATATATAATTTTGTATAATGTACATTCAATACACAAATAATGTACTTTTAATATATTAAAAATGTACTTTTTATTATGATTCACACATTACTACGTAAACAACAATTTGCCTCCGATAAGATCCTAGAATCCATGTTCTGGGTTTCTTTAATTTCAGTAAATATACCGGCCCATGCCATGCTTTCTTCACGGGTAACTTACTTCTACATACCCTTTATTATCTTTCATACATTTTCTGAGAAGCTGCCAATGCAACAAGACCGCCGCCCGGCGGCCTATAACATGACAGGATACCTATAAACCTTAAAATGGTCAAAAATAGTTGTTAAGCAATGCATGGACTCGTGACATGATACTAGCTAGCTAGAGAAATATGAGATCAAATATAATTAAGATGGGATGAACTATAAACGTTACATATAATATAATATGTTTTTGTAATTGTAAATAGGATATATAGGGAAAATTACTGTTTTGTTCCATTAATTGTTTTGTAATTGTCGATTTAATTTATTTCTTAATTTTTAATTTGGTCGAATTGATCCTTCAATTGCTTTAATTTTGATCAATTAAATCTCCTAACCACTGTTTTGATAACTAACGACTGAATGACGGAATAGTGGCTAGGAAACTTGATTGACGAAATTTAAAACAATTTAAGAATTAATTCGACCAAATTAAAAATTAAGGATTAAATTGACAATTACAAAAACAATTGAGAGACCAAATATAAATTTTCTCATGATATATATATATATATATATATATATATATATATATATATATATATATATATATCCAACAATTCAATAATGATCTTCAAATGAAGGAGTAGGAGTGTTTATGTGAAGAAGCTCATCTATCATTTGAAGTGCCAGTCTTTCTTCTTCGTCCATTCCTCTCGCGCTGACGCTCTCCGCCTTCTTCGTTCCCTCTCCGCCATCACTCCCGCGGTTGTTCTTCTGGAGCTCCACCGTCATGACCCATTTCGAGTCCGACGGCTGGCCGGCGCGTTTCTGCCACACTCCGATGTGGGAGCTCTCGATGTCCAGGCGAAGGCAGGTGAGGGAGGGCGACGGCACCTTGCTGCATTTCCGAAGCTTTGCGTGGAGGATTTCTGATAGGGGATTTGGTGATGAACGAATCGACGAGTCTGCAGGGCGATGAATATTATTGTTTGGCTGATTGGCTTGGGAGTCTTGTGGGGTTATTGGGAAATTGGTTTTTGCATTTCTTCCACTCATTAAAATGGCTGCTTCATCATATGCTCTTGCTGCCTCTTCCGCTGTGTCAAATGTGCCTAGCCACACCCTCCTCTTCCTGTTAATTATAAACACATTATTCTAAATTTTAGGATCAAGTGCTTACCATTGATTTGGATTTAAGCTCACTTAAATCCGTTATCTAGCTCTGATACCACTTGTTAAATCGAGCGGAGTTATAATCAGCAGCGAAAACGTAACTTTATTTTCTTATACTGCCACATATTTTTGATACACTGAATGCTGGACTTGGCCTTAAGCTCTTTATAGACTCCGCCCAACAATTCCTTAGTCACCAGATGTTGGACTTTGATGCTTACCAGCCTCCGCCCAACACTAAATTTATAAACATTTTATTGAAGGGTATGCTTCAATATATGTGTTCCTTTCAACTAAAAGCAGTTTAAATGTAAAAATAGAGCTTACAATAGCGGGTGGCGAATTTCAGAAACCCAAGAACCCCAATGGCGCTGCCGGACACCTCTGAACTTCCTGGAATGAACCATCTTCAATGAAGTTTGAATTAATGAAGGGGCCGGGATAATCGATGAAGTTGCAGCTCTGATCTGAACTTCCTCTGATGAGATTCAAACTGTTTGCCGGAGGAGAAAGAATATATAGACAAGTGTGCGTATAGTAGTTACGTTGATGCATAAGCCACCAGGAAGATTTAAACCACAGAAATGCACAGATGTCGGCGCAACTAAACTTGTACTCAATTTGTAGTGCTGGGCTAATAAATAGCATGTGCTCATGTACAGCAATACAATGAGCATCATATCAACCCCCACATAAGCACTGTATAGTTTATATATATATGGGAGTATTCATATTAAAGCACGCTCCTACATAAAAAGTCAGGATTGATTTCATTCATCTATTGATCGAAAAGATAAATTGTTATGAGTTGTGGAGAATTAAGGGGAATTGAAAAAGGGAGGTGGGTTATTTTTATAAAAGTTGAAAATTTGAAAGTTTTAAATAATTATTAAATTTGTTCTGTATTTTTTTTTATTAAAATTTTCAACTATTGAAAGTATTGATTAACCATGATTGAAGAATAAGATTAATCTCCTCACTATATATATATATATATATATATATATATATATATACATATACACTAGCATTTTGTACGCACGATGCGCGAAAACTTATGCCCAATATTAAAATATTTGTAAGTAACAATTTTTAAAAAATTAGTTAAAATTATGTTTTGCAATTTCTTAAAGTGATGATACTTTTGAATTATCATATATTTGAATAATATAGTGATCAAAACAAAAAAAAAATTATATTTTTATATAATAATAATTTACAAATAATACTAAGCTAACACTCACATATATGATATATTGATATGGATACACAAATAATATACATACATATTATATATATATATATATATATATATATATATATATATATATATATATATAAAAAATTCCCGCCCAATAACAACGGCGTCGTTTTGACAAAGTCGAAATATTTATAGTGTTTGCTTCGGAAAACGAAAGGTCTATGCAGTATAATACCTAAAGTTTATAGAAAACCTACATTTTTAAAAATATATAGGTAAGATCACTCTCCAATCCAATGGGATTAGAGAATGTATTTAACTCCATCAGTTCCCCATATGGAACATTGAGCCCACGAACCCATACATATTCTCTAGGTATTTATTTCGAAGGAAAAAGAACGAAAGGTCATCAGACCTTATATATACAGCACATATACATCACAAACTTATTTAACAGAAAGCTACTGAATACATTCTCAATCTCTATATACACCGGCCTCTCTCATTCTTCTTCCCTACAACAAGATGTTTATCCTTGCTAGCCAAATATCTCCAATGAATACCAGACAGGCTCTTAGGCTACGGGTGGTGAGAACATATCAGATTCCTGAGAGAAGTGATCTATCGAAGATTAGATAAAAAGAAATCGTTTTTCATGATGAAGAGGTAAGTGCTATTTAAAAATATATTCAAATAGATAGAGATTATGCAGTGCAGTTTAGGGTTTAGTACAAATATGTTTACAGTACCTTACATACACAGGTTTTTATTTTTACAGTTCCTATTTTTGTTATCTATACATATTTATGAGATATATTTTTACAGTTCCTATTTATGTTATTTACACATACACAGGGTTCCTTCCTGCATGCTCATGTACCCAAAGAATATGTGGAAAAGTAACTTAGCTGTTTTATTGAAGGCTCAGTATATGCTATAAAGAATTTTTGTGTGATCACCCATTTTTACTCATACAAAACCAGCCCACAGAAGTACATGATAAAATTTAACTATCAGACTATGGTAAAGGATTATGAGTTGCATAATGCCGAAAGCAGGCCATACTATAGTTCAGACGCAGTATGCAAAGCCGATGGCGACAACGGTATATTTGGAGATGTACACACACCGAAATTTCTAAACAGCATTAGGGTTTCAGGTCTACCAAATCATACATTGACTTTGAAAATCGGTTCACCAGTAATGTTAATGAGAAATATTGACCATTCTCTTGGTTTGTACAATGGAACTCGGTTGATAATCACAAAGCTAGCAGACCATGTTATTGAAGGCGAGATTCTGACTGGACATAACAAAGGTACAAAAATGTTGATCCCCCGAATGTCAATGTCACCCTCGGATCCAAGATTGCCGTTCAAGTTTCAACGAAGGCAATTTCCATTAATGCTTTCATATGCAATGACCATAAACAAAAGTCAAGGACAAACGTTGACTCATGTTGGTTTAATACTAAAGAAACCGGTTTTTGTACACGGTCAGTTGTACGTAGCTGCATCTCGGGTTAACAATCCAGACGGTCTCAAAATATTGATAGTCAAAGACCCAAGTTCAACTACTACATCAACCACTAATGTTGTATATCATGAAGTTTTCAATAATTTGTAATTTTGTAAAGTTCTCTTTTCTTAGTACCATCACCTTGCAACTATTTGTAATATACCATTTTCATATTGTTTTTGTTGAATTCCCAAATATATTTCATTTATATGTTATAAATTTTAACCGCATTAGTTCACGCAATTTGTAACATAACATACACACAATGAATACTTTTTAATTTACATACCGTGCAGCGCACGGGTCAAATACTAGTATATATATATATATATATATATATATATATATATATATATATATATATATATATATATATATATATATATATATATATATATATATATGATACACATATATAATTTAACATTCATATAAATATTTAAATAAAATATAATTTATAATTAAATTCATTGTTATATGATAATTTTAATATAATAAAATGATAATTAAAAATAGAAAAAAGATATGATAGATGTAGGTGTATGGTAAGATTGGTAGATATATTAAAAACTAACGGTGTTATAACGGTGTAAGGGTGATTTTGTCCAATGCAAATGAATGTACAACAATTAAAGCAAAATGTATATATTTATTAGCATATAAAAAAGGGACAAAAATCAAGGACATAACTTGTATTGACACTTATTATGTTTTTAGATATATATATATATATATATATATATATATATATATATATATACACACACACACACTGATGGATTTAGTTACTGGGGTGGACCTATATATATATATATATATATATATATATATATATATATATATATACACACACACACACACACTGATGGATTTAGTTACTGGGGTGGACCCGAATTACTAAACTTGATAGAAAATGTATATAAGAAATAGTAAATAGATAAGTAAAACAAAAATCTTTGGGTAAGGGTTCCTTCATGATGGAGCTTACGAACGGGGTGGACAGCACGTCCTGCGGCTCTAGAGACCCGTCCTTTTCATCGATCTTCTTCTGGAGCTCGTCCATCCTCCTCCAGAGCTGCTCGACCTCTTCTCGGTGGGAGCTCGGAGCTCGACCCGGGAGGCTTGCTCATGCCTTGGGGGTGCCCGGGTCCCTCGACCCGGTGATCAATATAAGCCCGCCTCTTGCCGTGGCTTGGCGACCTCTAGGTGACCGATTCTTGTCGTGGAGGCTTGCAGGAGCACAACTCTGCTGCCGGTGGCCCATTGGTGGTTGGCCTCATACCCAGCCTGTCAGCCACACGATTACCCAATCTCTCTCTATGAGATGCCTGGTTTGGGTTGGCCTCCTTCCATCGTCGCCTTGATGGCGGTCCCAGCGGGAGTCACCTCCTCCGCGCCTGTCCGTTGGTCAGGGTGAGTTGACCTCCCCATGGGTGGTAGGTGTCTGGGGTGGTCAGGTGCTCGGACCACTCCCCCCCCCGCCGGAGGAAGCTGGAGGCGGGTTGGCACCCCGTGAGTGACGTCCGGGTTGGCTTGCGCACCTGCCTGAAGGCCTTTCGCAACTCGGGCTAGCGCCGTGGAGGCTTGTTCAAAGACCGCGACCGCCGCTTGGAACAGAGCGAGATTCGGAACGAGCAAGGCGGGAGACGGTGCACCACCGTTGC